AGAGTTTCATAGACTAAAAGCCAGAGGATGAAAAACAATACTCTATGTGACAGGAACCCAGAAAAAAGGAGGGTTAGCTATTCTATTTACAGACAGAGTGAATTTCAAGCCTTGATTAATAGAGATAAAGAAGGTCACTACATCTTTGTAAAGGGAACAATCCAAGAGGAAGTGGTAACAATCATAAATATATTTGCAACAAATACAGTGTGTTCAACTATATAAAACAAACATTAATAAGAATGAAAAAAATGAGCACTAATACAATTGTGTTGGGGGCATTAATAACCCACTGTTACGGAAAGATGGATCAACTAGACAAAAGCTCAAGAAATATTAGAACTGAACCAAAGATTTCAACAAATGGACTCAGTAGATATCTACAGAGTGTTCTGCCCCACAACATCAAAATGCACATTCTTCCACTGCACATGGCATAGTCTCCAAACTAGACCATATCTTAGCTCATAAAACATGCTTATGTGAATGCAAATGAATTGAAATTGCTCATGTATGTTATCAAGCCATAGTGCAGTGAATTTGGAAATCAATGGCAAAAGAAACCACATGAAAGTAATAAACACATGGAAATTAAATAGCACCCTCCTGAACAATCATCAGGTCACAGATGAAATTAAAGAAGAAATTAGTTTCCTTAATTAAATAATAATGACAGTGCAACATACGGGAACTTATGGGACACAATGAAAGTAATCCTAAGAGGGAAATTGCAGTGGATACCCATATCAGGAAAGTGGCAAACACGAACAACTTAATTGTAGAACTCAGTATCCTAGAAAAAGAAAAGCAGGCTAAGTGCTAAACTTATGCAAGGGAGGAAATTACAAATATTAAAATGAAATTAATACATTTCAGACTAAAACAGTACAAAGAATCAGTGAGTCTAAGACTTGGTTCATTAAAAGATTAAACAAAATCAAACCCTTATCCAACCTAATTTAAAAAAAGACTCACTTCCACACAATTAGGAATCAAAAATGTGAAATCAAAGTGGACTTTGCAAATATCTAGAAGATCATCTATACCTACTTTGAAAAATTGTATTCTTGTAAGATTGAAAATGCAGAAGAAATGGTCAGATTCCCATATTTGTGTGAATTACCAAAGCAGAATCAAAGAAGTATAAAAATCCTAAATAAACTAATGCCAATTAGTGAAGTTAAAGATGTAATTAAAAACCTGCCAACAAAGTAAAGCCCAGGTCTTGATGGATTCAGTCCTGAATTCTACAAGAAATTTAGGGAAACTCTCTGGGTTTGGGCCACCTCACATCGACATGGCTAAGCGCACCAAGAAGGTTGGCATTGTCGGTAATATAGGACTTGCTATGTTGCCTCACTCTGGAAAATGGTGAAGAAGATTGAAATCAACCAGCATGCTCAGTACAACTGCTTCTTCTGTGGCAAGACCAAGATGAAGAGGTGGGCCATGGGGATCTGGCACTGTGGTACCTGCATAAAAACTGGCTGGTGGCTTCTGGACCTACAATACCACTTCCGTGGTCACAGTCAGTTCAGCCATCAGAAGACTGAAGGAATTGAATGACCAGTAGAAGTTCTTACTATTTGAGACATCCCTAACCTATAATAAATGGGTTAATTTATGTAATGAAAAAAAAAATCTAGAGAAGATATAACACCAGTACTTTTCAAACTCTTTAATGAAATTGAAAGGGAAGCAATATCCTCAACACAAGCATTACCCTGACAATAAAACCAGAAAGGAGCCCAACTAAGAAAGAGAATTACAGGCCAATCTCCTAATGGACATAGATGCAAAAATAATAAGATACTGGCAAACAGAATGTAGCAAATCATCAAGAAGATACTACACCATTACCAAGTGGGATTCATCCCAGGGATATCCAAAGCAATAAAGGCAATATACCATATTAGCAAAGCCAAGGGTGAAAATCATGATCAACTCAGTAGATACAGAAGAAGCTTTTGACAAATTCCATCATCCATTCATAAGAAAAACCTACAGAAAATTAGAATAGATGGTCTTTTATCTCAGTTTAATAAAAGCCATCTATGACCGACCGCAGCCAACATCATGCTAAATGAACAAAAACTGAAAGCTTTCTCTGAAATCAGGAACAAGAGGAGGATGTCCCCTGTCTCCTGTCTTATTAAACATGGTCCTGGAAACTTTAACCAGAGCAAATAAGAAAAGTAAAAGGACTAACAATAGGAAAGGAAGAAGTTAAATTATCACTATTTGCAGATGACATGATACTCTTCATAGGAAACCCTAATTTTTTTTTACTAAAAAGCTGTTAGATTTAATAAACAATTCAATAGCATACCTGGATACAAAGCTGGCATTCAAGAATCAGTAGCCTTTCTGGACATTAATAACCTCACTGAGAGTGATATTAGGGAGACAACACCTTTCATAATAGCATCCAAAAAACTAAAAAATACCTAGGTATCAATCTAATGAAGAAAGTAAAAGACCTGTACATTTAAAACTATAGTACTCTGAAAAAGATTGAAAAGGATATCAGAAAATGGAAAGATATCCTTTGTTTTTGGGTAGGAAGGACTAATGTAATGAAAATGGCCATGCTTCCAAAACTGTTATACAGATTTAATTCAATTCCAATCAAAATTCTAGTAACATATCTTATAGAATTAGAGAAAACAATCCTAGAGTTCATTTGGAACCAGAAGAGACTGAGAATAACAAAGGCGGTTCTGGGCAACAATGGGAAGGCAGGGGTATCACAATCCCTGATTTGAAAATATACTATGAAGCTAATGTGGTAAAAACAGTGTGGTACTGACCAAAAAAAAAAGATCTAAAGATTAATGGAAGAGGTTAGCATTTGCAAAATAACTTCAGACATACTAAGCCACCTTACTTTGACAAAGGTATCAGACACATTCACTGAAATAGTCTCTTTAGTAAGTGGTGCTGGAATAACTGGCTCTGCACGTGTTAAAGATTGAAATTGGGACTATATCTTTCATCATGCATTAAATGAAATTCAAAATGTATCGAGGAACTAAATATTAAAGCATAATTATCAAATCTACTGGAAGATAGAATAGATGAAACTCTTGAAGACATTGGTGTAGGGAAAGACTGAATAAAACCACGTTCACACAAGAACTATCACAACAACTTGGATCTGATCTTATTAAAAAACTTTTGCACAACAAAATAAATTACCAAAAGACTGAAAAGACGACCCACCATATAGGGAAAAAAAAATGTTTGCTAGTTGTTCCTCAGACAAGGATTATTGGCAGCATATTAAGAACTCAAAAATAGGAGACCTCCCAGATTTAAAAACCCAATCCAAAAGATGGGCATCTGAGATGAATATACACTTCTCAGATGAAATACAAACAAGCAAATGAATACATAAAAACTGTTCAACAACACTGGTTATTCGAGAGAGAAAACAACAGTTCCTTTTCTCCCTAGAAAGAAATGCTGCAGGGACTTTGGGGAGAAAGGAACCCTTTTCTGCTGTTAGTAGGAGACTGGTGCAACCTTGAAAATTAGTGTGGAGATCCTCAAAAAGCTATGATTGGGAATAGGATAATTTTAATGACACTGTATTAAACATTCCAGATTGTAATAACATTTCGATGTGTAATAAGTATAAAAGAATTGTAAGTGGAATTTTGCATTACTTTTGCATTTCAGCACTTATCTGATGTATACTTTACCCTTACAGTACATCTCAGTTGTCCTACCTGTTTTCCAAGTACTCTGTAGCCTCATAGCCAGTGCCTTGTGTGTCTTGCCCAGAATAGCTGTAGCTTTAAACTGCTGGGCCTCAGGGTCTGGTTAGCTCCTTGCCTGACTGTGGTTCTTCTGCAAGGAGAGCAAGTGACTCTGAGTTGTAACTGGAAAACTCTTCACAGAAGAGTTGGAATTGGGCAGTTGCTGAAGGCAGGTGCTTACTGTAGCTAATGACTTCTGTGTTTCTTCTAGTCTAGTTATTTTTCCAGTTTCATAATATTCATTTCTTGGCTGGATATAGCTTTTGTACATATGTTGTAGTCTAAAATGTTCACTATTTGCTTTTTTACTCCAACTCTTGTCTTGAAAGGGAGATGTTAGAATTATTTGTTCCAAGGCAACAGGGTTGAATCTGTGGCACATGTGTTACAGTGCGCATGCAGAGTACTCTCCGTCAGCGCATGAGCCAGCTCACCTCAACTCTGGAAAAGAGTTGTTTTTCTAAACTAAAACCTTGGTGTTCAGGTTTAATTGCAGTGTTGGCGCTTTGTGATAAGTAATTGGGTTTGGGGTTGCAGTTTGGGCACTTGGTGTCTAAAAGGTTCATTGTCACTGTTCTAAGGTATGAGTATGGGCCAGTCAGGATCAGTGTCAAGCAGAATCATGTAGTCAAGGCCAGGAATACCTGAAGTCCCTCCCCAGTCCTGAGATGGGGATGTCTAGTGCCAGGGCCTAGGGTTAGAAGAAGGACAGAAGTATCAGCTAATGGTCACCCTTGCCTCTACTGTGTATTATGTTGCTTCCTTCCTTTGGTTTGTTCTTCAATTAGACAGGATGGAAGTGTCCTTTATGTGCCAGGTGCTGTAGGTGTGGTGAGTCACAATGAGTGAAGGTGCTTCTTGCCATCAAGAGGCTGTTAAGTGAGTGTGGAATGACACAGATGAGGTAGGAGAGCTGTAGAGGACCAGAGAGAAAAGCTCAGATTGCAGCAGTGTATGTCCTTAAGGGCAGTGTGTCAGCTGCTTGAAAGTTTCTTCTTTGTAAGACAGTCTTTTTGTCTAGATCTTATATCCCAGTGTATATATACTGTGTTTAAAGATCATATTATATAGTGTGTTAACTATTGTTCTCTTATGAAATTTGGTTTATGAAAAAAGAGATCTTTTGACATCTTGCATTAAACATGATACATTTTTACTATATAAGTTTTGCTTATAAAAATGTCAGTTTTTGTGACAGCTGTTTCCTTTTTAGAATGTAATTGAATTTATGTATCTTAGGTTGCCTGCCTGATTCGAGTTCCTTCTGAAGTGGTTAAGCAGAGGGCTCAGGTATCTGCTTCTTCAAGAACATTTCAGATTTTCTCTAATATCTTACATGAAGAGGTAAGATGGAGTTTTGGACTTGTTTCTTTGTTAAGGAAGATTTTATGGTAGTTAATATTGTGAGGCACTAAAGAGAACTTAGAGTTGAATTTAATATCCAATTATAGTAACTTTTTTTTTAGTTCATTTTTGCCTTTTCTTTAATATCTATTCTTTTTCAAATTTCTAGAGACACATCTTTAGTGCTCCTTCTATATTTCCTGAGTTGTAATCTTCCTGTAGTTATTTAGGAGTCCAATATAGGACAAATTATAAATATGTAAAATGAATTAAGGTATTTTGTTAAGATACCATTACGAGAGCTGGGGAGATAGCACAATAGAATAAGCGCTTCCCTGGCAAACACAGTGCCTGAGTTCAATCCCTAGTTCGGCCAAAAAAAAAAAAAAAAAAAAAAAGATACCATTTAAGTATTTGAAGGCCCATGAAGAGAAATATAATAATGGACTGAGAATAAACAACAAAATATATATATATTAACATGTGATTTATCTTTTTCTGCTCAGTGTTAGCTATGGATCAGAAATTATTCTTGCTATCTTTCCTAGCATTGTGACTAGCAAGTATTTAACTATTTTCTTTTATATGATTTTTTGTTTTATTTTGATTTTGGTGGTACTGGGGGATAAACTAAAGGGTGCCTTAACACTAAATCCCATTTATTTATTTATTTAGACACTGGGTCTCACTAAATTACCTAAGCAAGACTCAAACTTCCAGTACTCCTAAGTGCTGGGATTTTATAGGTGTGAGCCATCATACCTTACTCCTCTGTAGTATTTACAGAAGCTGTTCTTAAGTTTTTTCTTTGTTTAGTGGTGCACTGGGGATTGAACTCAAGGATATTCTACCACTGAACAACCTACTCAACCCTTTATTATTTTTTATTTGAGACAAGGTATAGCTAATTTGCCCAAGCTGCCCTGGAACTTACAATCTTTCTGCTAAAGGCTCTGAGTAACTGGAATTATAGGCATATGGTGCCATGCCTGGAATTTTTTTTTTTTTGAGTGGCGGTAGGGGGACAGGTCAGGGCTTGACTCCATGGGGCTTTTGCACTAAGCAAAACATACCCAGGCATTCGTTTATTTGATTTTATTTTAAAATTTTGAGATAGCTTCTTGCAAAATTTCGTAGAGTTCAAAACCTGTGATCCTTCTGCCTCAGAAGTGTTAAAATTATAGGCCTGCCTTGCCACACTTAGCTTACTTTTTGTTTTGTTTATTGAGATTGAACTTTACTGTGTTGCCCAAGCTGGTCTTGAACACCTGGCCTTAAATGATCCTTTTGCTTCAGCTTTTTGAGTAGTGAGGACTATGGGCACATGCCATCACATCTGACAGTTTTTGTTTTTGCTGTTGTTGTTTTGTCTTATTAAATGCAGGTTTTAGAAAAGTTACTCTTTTTTTAAAAAATGTATTTAGTACAGGGTCTACAGGGTCTCACTATGTTGATCGGACTCTAGTGATTCTCTTGTTTTTAGCCTCCAAGCACTGGGATTATAGGCACACATCACCACGCCCAGTCTCAATCCCTGTCTCAGCATGACCCCGGGGGTGGGACTGGCGTGGCAGGTAGGGGATCGAACCCAGCTGCTGCGCTCTGCCTAAGCAGGTGACTGCTGAGCTATCTGGCTGGCCCTAGAAAAGTTATTCTTAATGGTCTGCCATCTAGATCTGCCACCTGTCATTCAATGAGACATTGAATGAGAAATTCTGTGGGATATCCATTGGCCTAAGTGGACAGGTAAATTGACAAATTAAGGTCTGTCTGAAAGTATACACTACTTTATTGAGAGAGTAATGAGCTTCTGGTATAAAAGCTGTAAAATGCAATTATTTTTTATACAAAAATATAATTGATATTTGTATACATTTGCTTTTGGAAATATATTTGAAGTAGTACAATTTGTTTTTCAAGAAAAGAAATGTTGAATAATAGTAGCTAAAAGTAAATATAGAGTCAGTTTTATTTTTTGAGATGTATCCATGTGAAAGAAGCTAACCTGAGCTTTGTGTGCCGTAAGCCAATTTAGAACCTTTAACCTCTTTGTAGAACTGTAGTTTGGCTGAATGTTTCATGTCTCAAATTTTAGAGCGGGCAAATATCCTTGCTCAGAATATCATTTAGAAGTCCTCCTCGCTATTCTAACTTCTGAACTCTTGATGTTTTGTTTGTTCCAGGGCATCCAAGGATTATATCGAGGCTATAAAAGCACAGTTTTAAGAGAGGTAACTCACTTCCACCATTGAACAAAAGAATAATATGCTTTGTTCATTAAATTTATGTTTCTTAACGTTAGAAATATATTAGGGGAAACTGGTTTAAGAATCAAAAAGGGAAATTATCACTCTGTTAAACACTGACGATGTGGCCAACCTTTGGACTGTGTATTATGCATACCTGTTACAGTAAAACATGTTTTAAAAAGGAAGAAGACATTTTTTCTTCACTCAGGGAGGCCCAGATGAGCAAGGTTACACATGGCTGGTAGTCTTGGTTCTTACCTCTAAAAGAATTGTAGGATGGGTTTGCTGGAAGAGTTCTTCCAGTGGTCCAAATGGCTAAACCTTGTGTGGCCTTACTGTTCTTCTAGAGTGAGTAAATGTCTCTTATAACCAAAATACTGCAAACTCATTACTAAGAGTGTGATATAAAATAAATTACTGTAATATGGACAATTAATGAAAAATTGGCAATGAAATAAGTGCTTTCAGAGATAATTTTTTCCGAAGCATGTATCATGGAGTTATCGCTTGGCTCCCTCATAAGGGAATGGAATGAGCTGGGAAGTTTACTGTGGCCTGGAGACTAGAACTGCAAGTGGGTGACTTGAAGTGCAGTGTACCCAGGGTCAGTGCTTTCTAGGTCAGTCGGGCAGTCAGTCAATCCATCTGTCCGTCCGTCTGTCTTTCCTGAGTGAAAAAAAAAAAAAAAAAAAGCTTTATCAGCAGTAGGTGATTTTACTTCATTTTTACAGGTTTCATGTTTTAATCTTTGTCTCTCATAAGAGAGACTAAAAGTTGAATTTTAGATGATGAGATACAAGAGAAATCTTTGACATGGGACCTCCCCCCCCCCCTTTTTTTGGTACTATTGACTGAACTCGTTACTTTGCACTTGCCAGGCAGACACTTACACCACTGAGCTATCTCCCTGGCCAGGACATAATTTTCTAATAAAACACAAATGAGAACTTATATATGACTCTATTGCATCTGTCTTTCTATTTGAAGATACTTGGCTAATAATATAATTAAGGAGTATATTTCCTGGCAAAATATTGATACTCATTAAAATTTCCCATTTTATTCTCAGTTGTTTTATTTTCAATTGCAGATATCAGTCTGCCTTATGACACATAACCATTGTTAACATGTTGTTTAAAAGTTTGATTTCTACAAGGTAGCAACCTATGGGGTCATTGTCTGGTTGGTGTAGACCTGAAGAACTTGTGGTGACAGACTGAATTTTCCTAATTAATTATTTGTGTAAAGATGACCTCTGTCTTTCAGAAATATCACCCATACTATATCTTTGTTCTTATTCCCTGATGCACTAAGCTTCACATTTCATCTAGGTGTTGGAAAAGGTAGGGAACTAATAAAAAAATTTTCAAAAATCTTCTGAAATGATGCTGAATACATTTATATTCCAGAGTACTGGTTTTACATACAAAAAGATAAAACATGGTTACAACTGCAGTCTATTCTTTTAAAAATTTATTTTGACATATGTTATTTTAGTAATTAATTTTTAGACTGCAGTCCCTGCAAATATTGTGACCTTACTGAAATGACTTTGTTTACTCAAAATAGGAGAAGTTTGTTGGAAATGTAATTAGGGTCTTCTGCATTGTGTGAATTCATAAAAGATCTTTCAGAACTGATTTTAGTTGATGTATTGCTTTTGTACAAGATTCTCAGATAGAATGAGAGAAGTATTATTGCTGAATGAAACATAGTTTTCCAAGTGAGAAAAATAAGAAATTATGCATCTGTCTTAAACAAAATTCTTGCATTATGAATAGTTCGATTCTTACATTATTCTGACACCAGTATCAGATCTTTTGCCAAGAGCTCATTTGATTGTTTCAGTAAGAAAATAGATGGAAGCTTTAGTGAGAATCACTGGGGAACTTGAACATTTATTTTGTGTGCAGCTTTTTCTTTGAAACAGTTTTATCTCTATAGCAGTAGCCCATTAGAATGAGATTGAAGTTTGAATCTATGCATTAAAAAACAGATTATATATGTTCTTTAGAGTTTTTGAATCCATTCATACTTTTTATCCACCTTTGATGTTTGTGGAGATTGCATGTGTGTCCCTTATGTTCTCTTAAACTGTCTTAGTTACTGGGAATTTTCTACTGAGTCTAAATAAGGTCAACAAATTATACTATTTACCTCATCTTTTCAGTTTTCATTCTTCTGATCTTGGCCAAATTAGATGTGTCCAAGTGTCTTGGTGTAGTGATGTTATTGCAACAAAAACAGGGAGGAAAATCATAGCTGCTGTCATAACCAAGACGATTTCAGGTGGAACACTCACCAAAACATTTTGCAGACAGCTGCCTCATAGTGTTGGATGTAAATTAGAAAGACTTGTATAAAGAAAGCAAGCAAAGAAAGACAGTATGTTTCAAAACAAGTGGAAATAAATTCAGCTAGTAGATATCCACAAATTCTACTCTACAGTCATTTATAGAGTGCTGTGTGTTGGGTGTTAGTCACAACTTTTCTGCCCTAAACAATTGACATTCTCTGGAGAAACAAATAAGGAAATATGATCCTTAGAGTTCAGTGTAGTGAAGGCTGCAGTTATAAGCACATCCAACATTCACCAGGGCCTATAGAGGAAGGACTGCTTGAATGGTACTTAGCTAATATGTATTGAATTAATAAAAGCAAGTCTGAATTAGATCTATTTCAGACCACCAGAGGATGCTTCAACAGAGCACTCCCAGACTGGGGTATTGGTAAGAAGGAGAAGTTGAACCTCCCACCTCAGCTGGGTGTTTGCTAGCGGACTGGAAAAGGGCACAGGGAGAAATCCCTGACTTGTATCCATCCAGATAAGAGGATAAATTATTGGTATGTGGCCCTTGACTGTACAAATCTGAAGGTAGAAGTTGGTTGGGGCTGTCTCAGTGGTAGGACGTTGCCATTTTAGTAACGCACAACTCCTGGCTTCCTTTTTGATAGACAAGAATAGCCACTGAATAGTTTAGAGGTAGGTGAGGACTATTCCTTTCAACCCCAACTTTGCTATAAGTAATTAAGCAGGTCCAACAAATCATTCAGCTGGTCCTGTATATGCATTGTAACCCCCTGTATTTAGGTACAGAGATCACTGCTCATTGAAAAGTTCACTACACAGTAGATAGAACAACTTTCCAGACTTGGATACCCTTATCATCCGTCCCTTGGCAATAAGAATGTCCCCCAATCTGTTAGCTGGACACAAGTGCCTTTAAAGATAAGCCTCTTGATTGTCATTGAAAGTCTTCCCAGCTCTTTTGTCTACGCACTTAGTTTCACCCCCATCCCCAAACTCTTCATGTTATGGTAGACTCTGGCCTGTTTTTCTGGAAGCTTTCTATGTAGGGGTTATGAATTTTGTTTTTATTAACCTATTTTTTTTAGATCAATTTAAGTCACTTCTTAAAGTGCATCACTCTTTTGCACAGTACTACATATAAGGGAACCATTAGCTACTCAGCCACTGCTCTGTTGGTAGAAATTACAAAGATTCTGAACTGCTTAGTAGTGTTCAAATGCCATTTCATTTGTGTCTGAGAGTGTGTGTACGTTCCATACCAAGAAGTATGAACACTTGGCTAGAGGTGAGGGCATTTGTAATTTTGATAAGTAGCACCAAATGGCCCTTAGTGGCAGTGCCAGCTGACTCTTTCCAATAGCAGAAGAGTGCTCTGTTTTCACTGCCACTCACTGGAGATGAAAAATTATGTCTTTATAGTTTTAACTTTAACTTAAGTAAGTTTAAGCATATTGACATGTATCTAAAAGCCTTTTATTTCCTTCACTGTGTAGTGATTGAGTCATGACAACATTCTTGTGAGAATTAAATGAGAAGATTCAGGTGCCCTATTCTCTATAGTGACTGCCACACAGTACTGTACATATTCAAGAAATGTGGGGCCAGTGAGGTAGCTCAGTGGTCTAAGCCCATGCTTAGGCAAGTGAGGGGACTGGAGTTTGATCCCTGGCACCACATGCTGTACCAGCACTGCCCCTGGGCCTGCTGAGCCAGTCACTGAGACAGGTATGGTGGTGCATGCCTGTAATCCAGTGCTGGGGAAGCTGAAAACAGGAGGATCATGAGACTGAGCTGTATAGTGAGACCCTGAACCAAATACATTAAAAAAAAAAAAAAAAGAAAAGAAAAAGAACTGTGAGCTGTGATAATTCATATTGCTGCTAATGGAAAGAGCTTTTGAAAGTGAAGGGACACCATGGTGTGATACACAGTTCTGCCCCTACCAACTGTCTGCTTTTGGCAAGTTACTTAACGTTTCTGTCTGTTTTCCCATTTATGCTAAGAACTTTGCATAGATTATGTACACTGAAATCTTCATAGCCCTCTCCTAAGACAGGTATTACAGCAATACCATCTACTAGAAAATTCAGAAATTAAAGCCATTTCTTGCTTGCTAGGTTCTTGAAAGGGATGTCATCTTCTACATTTGAATGTGTGAACAGTTTCATGATGAACAACTGTTGTGTTTGAACTGAGAGGTCAAATATTGCTTGTAAATGTTCTCAGTTGCAATTCTAGAATGTTTTATAGAAAGGAATTTCTGTAATTATAGTGAATTACAGTCTGTAACTGATATTGTATTGACTTGCTACTTCTGTAGGGAAAGCAGTATCTTAGTATAATAATGTAGTTATCCTAACTGATGGATGAGCTGATCAGAATCCCTAATATAAGTGGGTTTGAAAAATTTTATGATTTCCTTTTTTCATCAGATTGATGATTTGTTGCAGCATGTTTTTCAAATAAGATTACCCATTCAGAGACTTTCTTACTGAGTACAGTACTTCAATGTTTTACATTGAAAAATATTTCGAAGCAACTGTAGCTAGAACTTCTGTTATATGCCATCTTTAAGTCTGTATACTACTACTTTCAAAACAGTAAAAAGAGGAAAAAAAAAGTATCAGGTGAGGATTTTAGTATTAGTGCTGTGTATCTGTCCCTGATTCTA